TGATAGGACACCTTTTTACACCATGTAATTAATTCATTGCACAGATTTTCTTTACTTGGTATTGAAGAGCATTCAATTAGGTTTTTCACATAAATTAATTTTTCTTTGATTAATGCAGACTAAGAAACAAAACTAGTGAAGAAAAAGGTTACTTATTTGCATAGGCAAGTCAAGGTGTAGATTTTAAGGGAGGCAAAAGTTATCACAAAGGGACGGAATATCTATTTGTTCAAGTTGGCAGCTTTGCTGTGAAATTCTAAAGAGTTATTATCCTGATATCTGTGGCAAGTCTGAACACACAGCTTTCTCCGATCTAAAGTGTTTTCGCATCAATGTATGGTTCACGCGGAACTTGACCAATTTTGAAAATTCCAAGTCTTGAGACATTTTCATCTAAGAGTCATACGATTAAGTTTATTTCGCTCATTAAGAGTACGACACTTGTTTTCAAGAAAAACGGATTATAAAGTCGAAAATAGTAAAATAGGGGTCAAAACGAGGTTTGTAGCTTAAAATCACGTTCTATCGATTTCAAAATAAAATACCACTTTTTGGGTGCTAGAATAACTTCTTAATTAAAAGTGATACACGCGTTTTCTACTCCTCAACTTGCCATCTCTTGAATTTTCATGTGAATCTATAGTTTAGAAATATGCCAAAAAGAGAGCTACCTCAACTTGACCGATTCACGAAATGGAAAGATCTCCATCTGTCATTATGCGACCATAGTGCACATTTCTGTGGAACCATCAGGACTCGGTAAATTTGACTTGTGGGATTTTCACAAGGGATGAGGAGTATAGATTATTGGCAATTCTAAGTCTCGTTGCACTATTTGGTTCACCATCAAAGGTGAAGAAGTTTCTCTACATCTCGTTTTGATAAGACATGGGTTTTCTGTAGATGCGGTGGTACGATAAAAAATTCAGATAATTTCATTATTAGTACTTGATGTTTCAAGCTTTCAAAATGTATCAATTTAATGTTATATATTGTGGAATAGTCAAAATCGCACGTCTGTATAGTTCTCCGATTAGAATTTGCGGAGATCTTCACAATCGCGATGTGGTGGTTGTGATAACAAGTTCAAAATATTAATGTTCTAAGTTACTGTCCAAAATGACACTTACTTTAAGGCCGATATAGCCCCTAGATGTTGAAAAGGTTTCAAGGACTGGATTTTTCAGAATCGGCCAAGTCTTTAATGAAGAATGTATTGGCGAAAAAAATTGTTATCAGAGATACGAGCCTATATCGAACAGTACAGCAGGCACTCCTTTTGTCGATGAAATGAAAATTGTACCTTAGGTGTTTAGTGCCGTTACTTGACGTACTTTATTTAAACTCATTACTTTTATTCTCTATTCTAAACTGCAAGATTAAATGTTCGAACATATAGTGCAAAAGTAATGGCAATAATGTCGGTCCCTATTTTTCACCGATAGAAAGGTGCTAACAGAAAACTCTTTTTACCAAAAGATGGAGCTTATTTTTTCTCTTTCAAACCATATATAACTTATTTCAATCACACATCCATAGATAAAACAGCGCAACCGAAAAAAGGAGCACCCTAAAAAAACATCTGCACTTTTCGTAAAACTCAAACAAAACGACATTAAATGTCGACCCCTACATTTCTTCGATAAGCACGTTTTGAAAAGAATATTTTCTGATCAGTTGATTTGATTTTCTCCCCTTTTAAACTATATAGGATTTATATTTGTCACTCATTTGAAAATAAAATGGAGTGACAAAAAACAGAAATATTTGCGCAACAAATCTGCGATTTTTATATAGACTCGTCAAAAATATCCTGTAAGACGACAGTTAGTTCGATATTTGTGGACTCGTTAGAAAGCCCTTGTAAAATCGTGGTTAGTTCACTTTTTATGGACTGGTCAGAATGTCCTTGTCAAATGACAAATAATTATTATTTACTGTCGTCTTACAAAGCTCATATAAAAATCCAAAAGTCTATTGCGCAAGTGATTCTGTTTTTTGTCACCTCGTTTTATTTTCAAATGAGTGACAAATATAAATCCTATACAGTTTAAAAGAGGAGAAAATTTTCTATCACTTGATCAGAAAATATTCTTTTCAAAACGTGCTTATCGAAGAAATGTAGTGCGGATGTTTGTTAGGGTGCTTCTCTTTTCGGTTGCGCTGTTTTGTCTATGGATATGTGATTGAAATAAGTTATATATGGTTTGAAAGAGAAAAATAAGCTCTATCTTTTGGTAAAAAGAGTTTTCTGTTAGCACCTTTCTATCGGTGAAAAATAGGGACCGACATTATTGCCATTACTTTTGCACCATATGTTATGAAGCTGAAAACTAATCATATTTGTCTGTGAACCGTAATCATTCATCAATATCCAATCTCCCTATAAACTAAATACCTGTGCCTTTTCTCCATCCCAAGCCAAATATGGTAACAAATCAGTATCTTTTTCAAGCATAATGTCAAGTAGACGTACACCTGGAACTAAAACATCCGCAACTGCAAAATATACGATGTCTTTTTTTATGATTTTACCTTGTGGTATGCCATTATCATCATCTTTATTTCTTTCTTCAATTGCAATAAAGCTTGTAAATGGACTACCAATTGAATATTTTTTACTCAAATCAATAATATTTTGTTTATATTGAGATTTTAATTGCTGAAATTATTAAAGAAGGACAAATGAAACCAGTCGGAAAAAGTTGAAAATACTACTTCGTTAACTGACTCGTCCATATTTAACAAACCATTTTCCCAATCGTCAATAATTCCACGAGTGGTTAGACAATGTAAAATTCGGCCCGTTGTTGCAGTCCTCATGCTTGTAAAAACAGTTGTAGTTAATTCTTGACCGTTTACATTTGCTTTCAATGTTGCCTAAAGAAATATTAAGCGATTGTGCGTGTACATCATGAATCAAAAATTTACTTTCTATAGGAAAGAAATAGTGCAGTAGAACATCGAAGACATAATTACTACCTATTGCAAAACATAATGTCCTGTACAGCAGGACATTATGTTTTGCATGCAAATCTGTTTTTGCATAACGTCCGAAAGACAAAAGATAAAAATCAACAGTTTTAGTCATTTTTTCCAGCCTTATTTTAAGCTAGGTACATGGTATAGCAGAAAAGTTGAGAATTCTCTCAATATCAAATTAAACCGCTACAAGCGTTCACAATAGGAACAGACTTCGCCCTTCTAGATACTAACGGGAGAAAAACTTTAAAAGGACTATTGTTTAGCAAAACGATTTTCCAAAATTCTTCGGAAAAATTATCAAGCTTAACGCAGTTTTTTCCAGTTTTAAGCAATGTTATCATGTTAAGGAGACAAAACGGACGAAGGAACATGCCAATAGATCAAAAGCATTTTCATTAGTGTTTTGTACATATGTACGGTATACCATGAAGCATGCATAAAAACCTAGTTTTGTAGAGCAAACATTTTTTGTAAGATGAGCTGTGGCGAAAGTCTTCATTGTTTCTATTTCTGCCCCAATCGCTTTTCCACGAAGTTTTAAGAAATATTTTTTCTATAAGCAGTGAATTCTGATGAAAAGTGTCCCCATAGCTCATCTTATAGAAAAAATGTTTGCTTGCTGTCTACATCTCCCTGTTGTTAGAAAAATTTTAGAAAATTAACCTTCATTGAAAGGAATTTTGCGAAAAAGCGTACAATTGCCACCGATCATAGCCAACGCATGCCTCAGGCATGTTAGAGCTCCTACATTTCAGACATTTTACATAGATTTTCGTCCTATTTGTACAATGCTGTAGGCTTAATTTAAACTTTCGTTTATTAAACAATAAATCGCAATGGTACCTCATTACATGTTGTGCGATTACGATACCAGATCTTCTAGGAAAAGCATTCTGCGTCACGAATCAGAAAAGATCAAAAGTTCGGTTTGCGTCAGTATGTGGTAGGCAATTTGGGCTATAGTCTGCAAGCGGGGATATAGGAAAATGTATTTACGAGGAATAACACTTAGTCTTTGAAAGATTAGATTGAAAGAAGAGTACATCAGCTTCAAGTACAGTTTTTCAATACTGATACGGTATATTTATTGTCAACAAAAAACGGAGGAAGCTGCAGATGTTTGTCTTTTCTCTAGGGATGTTTCGAATCCGAACTTGAGTTCGAAAGTTCGACATCTAAGTTTTAGCATTCCTTTGCAACTCACTTTTCTTCCTAATTTCTCATAAGTAGGTATGAAACGAGCCGAGCTACTCACCCTCGAACCGGCTCGTGTATGCGAGCAGCTCGTGCACAAGCCGCTCGCCCTACAAGACGGGTCGGGTATGCGAGCTAGCTCGGGTTTACAGATTACAACAAAACTTGAAAAGTACTTTAGAAAATTGATCTGAATATAACGCCTCTTGAAGAATGGCGCTTTATTGAAAGCTATAAATCCACTCTACGTAATACAACTGTCTATGACTCATCTGTGTTTGTTTTTTTAAACTGAATCTTGCAGTCTATCAATTAATCGCCGAAAGTGTTGCATTAAACTTCTGTTAAAACGAAATTTTTACTTTGTAGAATCAAATAATTTATCATAAAGAAAATAACCCGGGTCGAGGCTCGGCTCGTTACATTCCTACTCACAAGCGAAGAGGGTTATATATGAGAAAATAAATCATCTCATCGAAATTACCCATAGAATCTGATCATTATAAAGAAAGGTAAAAACGTCATCCAATTGTACAACGTCTAACACGGATTCGTTCATTATTAGCAACATGAAAAGTAAGAATTTCAGATAACTAAGGGTGTAAACGATCGAGTTTAAAAGAACTAGGTTTCGAACTTTGGAACATCGGACTGATCGAAAGTCGGGTTCGAAGCATCTCTAATTTTGTCTACCACAACTTACTCAAAAATCATCCATCAGCATTAGATTTTGAAATGAACAGCAGTCAACTAGTGTTTTACACTTCTTTTCGTGTAATCGTTACCTTGTAACAGTTATTAATAAAGGCATATACAGTCAAACGCATTCCGTTGAATAACGACATTATCCTTGATGGCGCTTGAATAAATTGATAATTATTATTTTCATCAACTTGATCATTGTGCCAATCGATAACAATTCCATTGACACACGGTTGACGGAGATTTTCTAGAATATTCAATACCTAAAGAATACAGATTTTGTTACATTTAAACTAATAATTGGAAAAACATGTCGAAAGTGGTTTTCTAGACACCTCAAGTTTTTGATGAGGATGAAAAGTCGTGAAAATGAACGAAACATTGTATAATTATACCTCAAATTATAGCTTTTGACGAGTTAATTCGGATGGTGAAGGAATTCGGTCTCGATCTAACTTTACATTCGAGTGGTACTCGATTTCCATTTTTTACCCTCAGTTTTCCAGAAATCCGCTTAGAAAACTTTGGTACGGAAACACAAAGAAGCCCGAAAAAACGTTGAAGTACACTGAATTCTTCATGCTGAACAAGAATATGAAGTCATAATAGCTCAATTTACTTTCATCAAGTAAGATTTTAACGGGTATTCTGGAAAACTGAGAGTGAAAAATGGAAAGTGCCGAGGGTAGTTGCATGGGCAAAGTTACAGATTCTACTAAGTAGTTCCTATCCTGAAAAAATCTCGCAAAATTTTCGGAGCGTTTACGAAAAAATCGAGCTCAAACTTCAGAAATTTTTCAAGTAAATTGAGTATCACTCGAATGTAAAGTTAGATCGAGACCGAATTCCTTCACCATCAGAATCACCTCGTCAAAAGCTATAATTCGAGGTATAATTATACAATGTTTCGTTCATTTTCACCGACTACGGTTTCATCCTCACCAAAAACTTGAGATGTCTAGAAAACCACTTTCGACATGCTTTTTCAAAAAGCGTAAGCGAGATCTTTCGTTATTTTTGATGCTCTACACGATGGGCAAAGTGAGATTTTTGCGGCTAGTAGTGAATGTAATAGTGGGCGGAGCTGCGCGGAAAAAAACGTTTTTACTTTCCACAAGAGTTTCTTATTCTCAAACAACATAAACATACGATCATATAAAGCAAGGACTTGTCTTAAAAATGAGTTTTATGCGACACATTTTATAAGCATGGCGTCAGCGACGTTAAAAGCTGACCGCTACAGTTCAATTTACTCTCCTCAAAATATGATTATGCATCAGTATGCTTTATTTGTCAACCTCCGACCTTCCCAACTTACATTTTGCCAAAACTCACAGCGCGTTTGGTGGAATTTTACACAGAATTAGATAAAGTCTGGCTTTCGAAAAAATTCGCAAAAATGGCAGAAAGATTTTAGTAAAAAAACATATCTCGTTATTTTTAATATCTTATTTCACAGAAAATTTAGATCTGCATTGTAGCAGATGTAAATTAGTGAGAATGTCTCTAGCAGACAGTTATCAATTCTCTCATTTATTCAAAATAAGGACTGTTTTACTCTATACTAACTTTAGCTTTCCATTTTGAACGATAATTTGTATCGAATACCGTTGCTAAGCCACCACCACTACTAGAATTAACTAATCGTTTTAAATTATGTTTATTAGCTATGTCACCAATTGAACACGTAAAAAATCGATCATCATTCATTTGACTTTGCTTCAATAATAAAACAATTGATTTAATATCATTTATATGTCCATCTGATAGTAGAACAAAATTTCGTCCATTGTTTGATGGCAATAATGAATATATTCGTAATACAGAAACTAAATTTGTATTGCCACGATGATCGGCCGAATGCTATTATTAGTAAAACATATTTGTCAGATTCTTACGAAAAAAGTATTAAATGAACGCACTAAAACAAAGTGTTTTGCTTTATCAAGATTCTCTTTTGTTGCCGGGTGCGATGTTGGAAAACATTCATCATTATCCGATCCAAATATAACAACATTGAACAAAATATTGGCACTATTATTTTTAATTGGCATCATATTCGATAGAAAAATAAATGCCAGCTGTTTCGCTTGTTTTAATGGTTTACCATCCATTGAATTGGAGACATCAATTAAATAAATGATTTCTATTATACCACTGTTTAATTGGTCATAATCAAACTTTGGATAAAATGTCAACATACACGCCTGAAAACAATAAATACAAATGAATTTAACTTGTTATAGGAACATACAACATATTCAACATAACAGATCTTCCGTACTGAATATATTTTTAAAGTTCCATGTGATTCTATAATTTTGAACAGCACTGTACGAAAGAAGATTCTCAAGTGAGCCATTCAGGTTTTTAACCCTTTCAGGACCGGGTTAATTTTTATATAAAAAGTGCTGTTCAAAAGTTGAAGACCTTTTTTATTTTGCAATATCTCGGCTTCCCTGACAGATAGAGACTTCATCCTTTTGTCAAAAGAA